TCAACGACTTGCATAAAGCATCAAATCTACTCAGTATTGTGTTTGCTGATGACACAAACTTATTTATCTCTAACAGTGACATCTATCTACTATTATCCGTATTGAGCGAAAAACTTCAAAATATATCTAAATGGTTTAAAAGCAACAAATTAACATTAAATGTAAGCAAAACAAAATAGATTTTTTTCCACCCGCTCTCCAAAAAACATTATCTACCCCCAAATCAACCACAAATTTTTATTGATCATATTAAAATAAAAAGAGATTCTGTAACTAAATACCTGGGGGTTTTCATTGACGAGAACATCAAATGGAAACATCATATTAACTGTGTCTGCTCGAATGTTTTAAAAAGTATCGGAATTTTATACAAGATGCGTACTTATATTGATAAAAATAATTCAACTAAACTTTATTACTCTTTTATTATCTTTACATAACTTATATAACTATTCATAGTTATATAAGTTATGGAGTATTGCCTGGGGTAGCACTGATCAAAGTTAGTTACAATGTTTCTATCGCCGTCAGAAACATGCGATCCGTTTAATTAATTCTGCGGATCGGTTATCACATTCCTCAATATTTTTTAATCAAATGAAAATCCTCGATATATATGAACTAAACGTATAAAAAATTTATCTTTTGTTTATATGTGGAAGTATGATTTATCTCCTTTAATTTTTAAAGACCTTTTCATTTTGAAACTATTAAGCAAAATTAACAATGGGAATAATAACTATTTAAATGAACCATTCTGTCGAATAAAATTCAATCAATTTTTTATCACTTATCGTAACTCTGCAACAATCAATCTCATCTCTGTAACAAAATTATTTCGCCTAACTTTGACTTACCTCTAACTTATCCTGTTTTTAAAAATAAATAGAAAAAGTCTTATAAAAAATAATTTTTATTGTCAAGTTTTGTTTTAAACTATTTTACAATTTATTTTTATTTATCTAAGTACGATTTAATGTTTTTAATTTATTTTTTACGTACTCTTATTGTAAAAACGTGCTTTTATAATATTTTGCGAACTCTCTTTTGTAAAAGGCTTCTGACGATAAGATCATTCTTTAAGAAGCCTTGTTTGTATTTGAAAAATATGTAATTTATAAATATTACCTTTTTCTAAAAAAAAGTCTAGATATAGAAGACATTTTTTAAGAATTGGTGATCGTGCCTCTTAACTACCCCGACGCCCCTCACTACCAAATCCGTATCGTCAGCTCTGGTGACAAAATACTTTAAAAGTTGTAACAAAATACTTTAAAAGTACAAATCTTGCTAAGAAATTAAAAAAGTTATTGTTACTTTGTATTTTCTATTTCACATAAATTTTATACTTATAATAAAGAAAAGATAAAACACAGAAAATATCTGTAGATTTAAAGTATTTACTATATGCTACAATATTTTTATTTCATGCTAAAACATATTTATATAGGCCCGACGTCGGGCCCATATAAATTCAATAAGCATGTCGCGACATGCTTATTGAATTTATGATTTACATTTTTTTTAAACAACTTCATCTATTATTATAAAAAAAAAATCTATTATTTTAGAAAAGTGCTTAAACATGAAGTTCTATTATGATTCAACATACTCTTTATTTACTTTAAATAACTTTACACTTTTTAGCTTTTTGTGTTTGAAAAGGTTTTTTTTACCTCCAATTATTTTAGTTTGTTTATATACACTTTAGTTTTCAGTAAAAACAAAAAAAACTTTGAAAACGAAAAAGTTAGAATTTTATATATAAAAAACTTTTTTTTTTAAATATTTTGAGTTTTTATTTTATTGCTATAATTTTTGTATGAGCTGACGTGTTATTTTTATAGTTATATAATGTAAAAATCATTGAAAAGAGTAACTTAAAAACGTCCTTTATATGGCAACGTGCTCTGTTACAACTAGCCTCGTTCTCCCTGAAGTGATGAACTAATACAGTTTTAACTCTATTCTCAGGGTTAAAACAATTTCACCAAATATTGTTTCAGAGAATCTGATAAAAAGTGATCACTCGTATCACTCGTCCTCTTTGTAATCTTTTTTCACTGCATAGTAACTAAATAATGATTAAAATGAAATAAATTTAAAAAAGAAAGTTACAGTTATAAATAAATTTCTATATTTTTATCTTTACAGAAAATAATAAAGTCACGACACTAATGAATAAAAACAGAGACGCTGAAAGAACATGTGAGCCAAGATTAAAACTAGGGGCTGGAACAGGAGTTGGGCCTGTCGCAATTCAAAACTTCTATTTTTTTGGCATGCTCTAAAAGGTTAAGTAAAGTTATAGAAAGGTATAGAACACTCCTGCAAGAGACTTTTTGACAAGTTAAACTCACACAGAAAAAGTGTGACAAACTTAATTTGTTACCTTGAGTGCAGAAACTTTAAAATCAGCTGAATTATGCTATAATATTGTCTTCTTGAAAAGTCAAAAACAAAGCAGACCGCAAAAAACAAACGGAGAAGGCTTTTAAACGGAGTCCACTATCTCTCAGCAGACATACGAAATGAGTTTATTCTATATTGTGATTTTATGAGGCAAAACATTCCTCATTTATTGTTGCCTCAACGAGGCAAATTGTTGACTCGTTGCATGAATTTATTTTTTATGTTTATGTTTTTTTATGTTTTTCTCGTTACAGACCGTAGTCTACTGTGTAGGACACTTTGAAAAAAAAAGTAAAATAGAAAATCAAGTTACTTGTGGTGTGCCCGAAAGAGCAGTCTTACAACCACTAATATTTTTACTGCTTAAAAATGATTTATACTTAGCAGTAAAAATTTTAAATCTTATATTGTTTGCAGATGGTTCCAATTTTGTTTATTCTAATCAAAGACGTAAACGTTTTCTTTAATATATTTGATAAAAAATTAATCAAAAAATGATTAGTTTACACGTACTAGACTTTCATCGAATGTAAAAAAAACTAAACTATTTTTATTTTACAAACCCAGTCAAGGTGATAAATCCTAAAATCCAAAAATTAACTGATCAAAAAAACATTTATTAAAAGAGAAACAACAGTTAGTTTTCTAGGAGTGCTTATAGACGAAAATTTCTTTATTCATAGTTTTATCTCTTACTGTAATATTATATGGGACAGTACTAATTATGGAAACTGGAAAAACTTTTTAGTAACCAAAATCATGTCTGAAGGATTATTCTCGTTGCACACATAACTGTTCATTGTGAACCTTTTTTAATAAACCTAATACGTACTTTGTGTTTAAAATAAAACATTAGGTTTTTCCTACTTCATTTCTCTTTTATTGTAGTAAAATCTCTCACAAACACAGAACTCAACTTTTAACTAATTTCCAATAAAGTGAAAGTTTTATAGCTACATACATGGACCTCTTGATTAGACTCCTTGTATCCTCGTATCCAAGAATCAACTGTTGATGATGAGAAAAAGTTGGAGCTCTCATAAGAATAAAAATCTCTGTTAACTGTATTATTTTTAAATTGAACAAATAATATTTTGTTTATTTATCGCTTAATAAATAGTATTACTTTTCATTCTTATTAGAGAAAATGCTAAATATTATTTAATCGAAATTCACTTTCTATTTAAAACAAACGATTTAAAAACCTACTGGCAACCGATAAAATCGTTCGTTCATTTTTAGAATATTTAGAATGTTTTCAAAAAAGAATTCCTCTGTACCAAAAATCCTTATTTCGATGTATAATAGGTCTGTATAAAGAGTTATTAGAGTTAGAACCTTTAAATGGAAAGAAATTGTATTAAAAGATAAAGATAGGTCTTTTAAGTCAAAAAGAACTCTAAAATCTTTCTTTGCCACATCAAAAACAATCAAATAAATTAAAAATAAAGCATAACAACTAAAAACAAAAACTTTTAAAAGAAATAATGCTCAAATGATATGGCATGCAAATTTTTTTTTTTAATATATTGAAGAAGTTCTTTTCTTAAATTTGATAACCATACATTGCAAAAAAAGAATTATAACTAAAGACAGAATTAAAGTTTTTATGTAACTATTGATGATTTCTCTGTTTTGAGGGCATTACTCTATATTATTAACTTTTTTTAAAGTACCAAATTCATATTTGTAATCTCCTTTTTTTTCCTGGTTTAAAATGCCGTAATATTTTTAAAAACTTCTATTATTATAAACATAAAACGTCATTCATACTGTTTCTTCAAATTACCTTGGTAACCAGTATTTACGTGCATGATTTGTAAAGTTTTAAACTGTGATTTTTAGTTTAATATATATCCACTAAAAAAAAAGAGTGAAGAAAAGAGTCATGCGTGGAAAAGAAATCTCTCATCCGGAGTTCTATATTGGCAAAACTTACCACTTGCAACCTCATACTTGGCACGTTTTGTTTCAATTTCTGAGTGCCCGGAAGTCGAATCAGAAATAAAAATTAATGTAATAAACATTTTTGTGACTTAATATTATATTTGAATCATTTTAAAAACTTGATTTTGCAAAAGGGTAAAAATTGTTAAAGATTAATTAAAAATTCGGCAAAAATTTGATTCCTTATATAATTTTTACACAAATTGAGATGCATAATTTTTATTTGAAGACAAACAACAATATATAAACATATATATATATATATATATATATATATATATATATATATATATATATATATATATATATATATATATATATATATATATATATATATATATATATATATATATATATATATATATATATATATATATATATATACTTATATCTTTTTTTCTAAAAGTGTGTCCGGACATTTCATACTTTCTATGACATTTTTATCGCTAAATTGCATTAAAAAAGCCTCATTTTGCCTTACAAAAAAAAAAAAAAAAACCTGAATGAATAACATAAGGAAAAATATTTGAAACTAAATTTTTATCAATGTTTTTGAATGAGTCTGTTTTAAATTACATTAATTATTTGTAGAATAATGATGTATTTATTACAAACTCTTTCATTTAACGTTTTTAGTTAAAAACTTGCCAGAAGCGCGCAATAAATCAAAGTCATAGCTAATTATTTGTCATTGAATTAAAAAGTGACGTCACATAATAGCGTTTATAAAGCAAGAACCTTTATTTTTCTCTTCAATGATAAAAAAACAACCTGCATGAAATTTGTTACAAGCAATGAATTTAAGAAATCAAGGTAAGATTTTTTTTATGATTTCCATTATGCGTTTATGTGTCCATAAACACACGTTTATTAAAAACTTAATGCTTCCTGTATAATTATTATATATATTTTTAATAATGTCCACTTGTATCCGTTTTGTACAGAGCAATACTTTTAAGGTATTTAAAAATCTTTCAAATGTAGTAGTTAAAAAGCATTAAAAGACCGTGTCAAAAAAGTTGTCACGACTTTATTATTAACACATATAGTCTGGACAATAAAGGTGAGTTTCCACTCATCCGTTTTTTCACGGGAACGGGTTGGGAAACGGAAAAATAATCACGTGAGCATGCGTAGTTTTCCTTCGGACATATTAAAACTTATACTACGCATGCCCACGTGATTATTTTTCCCGTCCCTTTCCCGTTCCCGTAAAAAAACGTATGAGTAGAAACTTGCTTTTAGTGAATCATAAGGGGTTTCCCAATAAATAAATAACAATTATCTAAAAATGCGTTTTAAAGATTTGAATAAAAACTTTTATTATTTAATATTATTTTTTAAATATTTTGTATAAAAAAGGAAATCGAAAATTATTTTACCGATAGCCTCATATAAAATTTCTTTTAATTTTTTTTTTATTATTATTTTTTTTTATTGCACACTTTAACGGAGTTATAAGGACACTATTATTTTTTAAAATTTTTATTTACTTAAAAAATAAAGCACACAAAAATATGGTTATCGTTATTGTTAATTGAATAACCAACCTTTAAACAAAAAGAATATTCCGAATTCTATAAGTTCATATGTATGACGAAAAGATTCTTCACAAAAAAAATTACTGTGATAGGAGAATGGGAACAAGAAACCCTAAAATCTTAGCTAACACCCCCCCCCCCCGCCCTTAACCTAAACGTGAGGGCAATGAGTTGAGTTTTTTTTTTTTTATATAAATATGAACTAGTTATATATTCATCGACAGATTTCAAATGTTATGTTTAAATTATTCAGTGTATTTGACCATGTAAAGAAGAATCCCCCCCTCCCTCTCCCTTTGCGGAAGGCACAAACAGTGGTTTATTCCCTTGTGTTTGACACGATCGATTTATACACAGGCGAGCGAAAAAAAGTGACCCTATAATTGAGCAGGAGCAGTTATTTAATTTGTTGGGAATGACGTAGAGAATGACGTATTCTTACATATTTGTTTATTTTAAGTGATTTATTTTTATGAGCTTTTTTATATAAGATAACATATATCTATAAATATCATTTAAAACTGTCATATTTTAGTTTATAATTGATAAATACACATATAGAAGAATTCAGTTTACGTTTAAGTTTCTGTGGACAAGTGTTAAAAGTTTTGTAACATTTTTATGAAAACAAAATGAAATCTGGCAAAAGGTATGTAATATTACTAATAAGTTTTTATGCATTAAACTTACTTTCCGCGTTAGCCGACTTTTTTTGGTGGTACTTTTTGTCTTTTTAATAGAATAATACAATACACTACTGGTTACAGATATAACTTAACACTATTTTATTTATTACTTTCAATATAATACTTTCTTTTTTATAGAGGACCACAAGTGAATAATAAGCAAAAAGAATTGATTGTGAGACTCCGAGGTCTAAATATTTAGAGGTTTGACGTTCAACGCCATCTCTAGCCCAACAAGCGACATTGGTACGGAAGGAGGCGTGAACTTCCTGTTTAATGCTCTCCCGCGGTGCTCTATGATAAGACTGTAAGGACTTCTGGGAGTACCTAAAAATAAAAAAAAAAATTTTAGTGCTGGTGTTATTCATAATTTAAACAGTTACAAAAAGATTAAAACTGTTACTAGAAAAAAAATCTGGCAGACCAAGAAAATTAAATGACAGAAATACTCATAAATTAAAGTTAAAAATTATGAAAAAAAAATGAACGAACACAACTGAAAAAGCGAACTCCTTTAGAAGTTCTAATGGAAAAAAAGTCAGTCAATGGTCCGTTTTAAGGCGCTTTAAAGATCAATGGTTTAAAATCCACAATGTGAAAAGATATCTCTACTAATAATCCGCCATAAAATATATTATTATGGGTAAGCACTAATAAAAAATACAGTCTGGACAAAAGCAGCCGTGGTCAGAAGATTCTCGATTTTGTCAGCACTTAGATTGCCCACAAATGAGCATACGCAGGACTTACAAACAATTTTATACTAATTTTCTACAGAAAAAATTAGAAGAAAATCTATGAAATAAAATCTGATTGTTTGTTTAATAACGATTTTTGGTTTGCATGAGTAATTATTTCAAATTTTTCTACCGCCTTGTGGAGAAACATTTTAGTCTATGCAACCAGTAAAGTTTTACAGAATTCCAAGCTAAGAAATCTAAGCTCGGCTGTTGCAACATTGAATTTTCTGAAAAGGTGTGGTGAGTCATAACAAGATTGCTTCAAGAAGTATGTGAAAAAAGACATAGAGAAATCTGAAACAACAGAACACGTTGAGAAAAGACGTTTCCAACGTAACGTATGATTTGGTATACTCAATCAACATATTATAAATGACATCTAGTGACTACTTTCTTTATGTCGTCAATATAAAAACAAGTCAAAATATTTCATTTTTTTGTTAGAGGGTTTCTTAATTTGGTGGTCCTTAATTTGGCCTAAAATCCAGATCTAAACCCTAAAATCCAGGTTTGGCTATATACTTTTGATTGTAAATGAAACAAGTTCTAGAAGTCCGTTTTTTTAACGATTACTTATTGCTATATATGTTAAACTAATTATAAATAAAATTCAACACCCTCACTCCCTCTCCAAACTTCATACATATTGAATAAATAAATAAAAATTAAAATGGTAAATTATTAAGATTTTAATTTATATTTATTTATTAATAATAATTATCATATAAACAACTAAAATAAAATAAATATAAAAATAAATTTAAATTAAAATGTTAAATTTGAACTTTTAATAAACTAAAAATTTTAACAAACACTTACTTTAAACATAAACTAAAAATATTAAAAATCTTTTTTATTTTTTTTTTAATTTAAAAAAAATATATGTTTTACACATTTCCGTATACTTTATTTACATCTTTACAGGAGCATAAAAAAAGGATCACAGAATACTTGCAACAATGCCCGTTGTATTAACTCTATTGTACATTTTCATATCAATTATTGTACTGATGTGCGTAATATCAAGTTGTACTTATATTTGTCGAGTAATCGTTAAACGACCAACATTTTTAAAGTTATGCGCTCTCAAAAAAAAGTTGGTTGGCGCATCAGCACTTTCAATAAATGCACAGAAGTTGCCTGAAGATTGTATTGAATCAGACTCCTCGTTAAAATTACATCAAAACGTAAAAATTGTTCAACCTTCAAAAAAAAATGATGAAAATGAATACGAAGTACCTTTGGAATCTAGAAGTCTGCAAATCAAAATTCAGGAATCTCAAAGTGTGTGCAATGAAAGTTTAAAAAAATACATACTCGTAGAAATTAAACCGGACGAACATTACACAGAACTAAACAAGACTTTATGTAAGAATGACTTTTGCAAAGTATTGGTCGAAGATATGAGAAATGAATTCTCTCTTCCACCTCCTTACATTAACTCTTATTCCTTATTAGACAATTATTTGAGCGACTAATAAAAAAAAAACTTAATAATCAAATTGAATTAGTATATATATAAATAAAAATGTGTTTTTTACTTTTCTTTGAAATACTTATCAGTTACCTCTCTGCACTTTCCCTCCCTGAAACCCAAACACATATCATGTATGTGGTAGGGGAGGGAACATAATGTGTCTTTTACTATACTTTCATTATTAGTGAAATGTCAAATTTAATATTTATAAAATTTTACTATAAAGTCGAGTAGATTTTATACAAAAATAGTTTTTGAATAAAAACTTTTTTATACTAAATAAATCTACTGTAAAACCGGCTGGTGTTTGACAGACAATAGTTTTTGACAGCGTTTTGTACAAATTGTTACTAGTATCATTAAATTTTCCATTAACTAACGGTGGTTACTAAAAATCCGGACATACTTTTAAGAGTCATTACTCCCATAGTTTTTAAGATTAAAAAAAAAAATCATTAAATAGAGTTTTTAGTTATTTATTTTATTTAATTAAGTTTGTCCTCAACTAGTCTGTTTCTTCGAAAATGACCAACTCGAAAACGAGTTACCCAAAAAGTGAAAATACAAGGTTAAGGTCAATTTTTTCAGACAAAGCTTTATTCTGGTTTGTAGTTGCTTCAAGTTTTTTGCTTGCCAGTTACCCCTATACACTTTTCCTTTCAAATTAGCCCAAAAGTCTTCGATTGGGCGACACTCCGGTACGGCTGACGGATTGTCAACATTTTTGACAAAATTGATTTTGTGAGTCTCATAGCAGTTGGTCACGGTTTGGACATAATGCGATGAGGCCAGGTTTAGCCAAAATACAAAATTACTATCGGCATGATGAGTATTGGTAATACAATCCATTTCGTAGATGGTTTTATTAACTACAAGGCCGCTTAGGACGAAAAATAGCTTGGAAATACCTTTGTCAGAAGCGGCAAGCCAGACAAACTGCTTGGGTTCAAACTTGCGCTTTTCGCGAAATTTAACGCTTGGTGGATTCTTTTCTCTGTCTCTAGAGTAGTAGGTGTTGTTTCCATTTATCGTTTAGTGTGACAGCTTAAAGTAAAATTTGTCGTCAAGGATAACCAATTTTCCATGAAAATCGTGATAAAGACGATCAATGCCGGTCTTGATTCGCTCAATCTGGCTCTCTTGTCAATCAGGTATACCCTGTTTTGTATAAGTTTTGATGTCAATGGACTTGGCAAGAATTTTAACAATATGTGAATGACTGCATCCAAACTTTCGACCGGTGTGCCTCATCGAAACTCGGTCACTGTGGTCAAATATGGTTCTCAGACGCTTATCTTATCTTCGGGGTTCCATCCATGGGTTTTTAAGTTGTTTGTTTTTTATTTAAGTGGTTAATTTTGGGCAGACATTATCATAAACATTTTGAAAAGTATTCAAAAAATTCTCAAACGGGTAATTGGCGTCTGCAGAGGAATAGACATCTTTCCATGGCTCTTCTCACAGTTTCTTTTTAAGTTTATCTAGGCTTTTAAAACAAAGATTTCTTTTAGTAATAAATATTATTTTATTGTCGTCGTTAGATGAAACTCCGTGCGCAATATGATAGATAGGAAAATAATCAGAGAAATCTGTAATATATACATCTGTAATATATATATATGTATATATATATATATATATATATATATATATATATATATATATATATATATATATATATATATATATATATATATATATATATATATATATATATATATATATATATATATATATATATATATATATATATATATATATATATATATATATATATATATATATATATATATATATATATATATATATATATATATATATATATATATATATATATATATATATATATATATATATATATATATATATATATATATATATATATATATATATATATATATACACACACATATATATATATATATATATACACACACACATATATATATATATATATATATATATATTTATATAGACACTCATTATCTCCAAGTGATCATGAAGCAGTTATTTACTCAGTATTATAGACTTGATGGAATTGAGCTAATGGCGTGGAGATGAGGCGAATGGTGAAAATAGCCCTGCGGCTCATAACGATAATAACACATACATCTCTGGTGTACACCGTTAACGAAACAATATGCGGTGTTAAAGGCGTTTTCTACAACGTCCAATATCCAACCTTGAATGAGGTAGTCTAAAAGCAAATGTTTATTTTATTATTTTTAAAGTGTTTGTTCTTAAGTGTTGCACAAATAAAGTTATTTTATTTGAAGTGGACGCACTGTCTAAAATGTAAAAACATATCAATTACCTATTGATAGTTTAGTGGGTTAGGCTCAAGCTATAAACTAAATCTAAAGCTGCTCACATGGAATTCGTGCTTTTAAATAAACAACAGTTTAACGTTGAATCGATGTAGCAGTTAAATTACACAGTAAACGTAAGTAATTTCATTTCCTTCCTTTTTTTTGCTACCTTATTATCGTGCATTATTTTCATTTACTTCTTTTTTCAAAATTAGTTTTTAAAATAGTTATATACATTTTATTATTCATTTATTTAAAATACTATTAGAAGTCTTATATTAAATGTTTAACTCATTAAAAACCATGCGTTGAAACTTAGTCTTGGGCTGTTGCTTTAGTTAGCTAGAAACAGTAAATATGTAAAATGAACTACATCCATGTTTTGGCTAAAGCACTTTTACAATCATTTTATTTCATTAGAAAACACTATAATAATTTTTTTTTTTTTTTTTTTTTTAAATAAAAACAAAAATTTCGTCAAATCAAGTAAGCATTATAAGATTTGTTGTAACAATGTTTAAACTTTATACACAAAGTTTTACATTTGTAAAATACCTTTTTTGTTTCGACAAAGTACAGGTAGTTCAGATTTTTACAAAAGTGAACTAGTTTATAATAACAAATGTGAACTATTTAATTTACATTTTTACAAATGTGAACTACCAGTACTTTATTAAAACAAAAAATAACTTAGTTGAAATAAATAAGAGAAAATTACATTAATGTAAAATTATGAAACAACTTATACACAATGAGTTAGGAAGGTAATAAAAATTGTAATTTTTTATATTTTGAAAGTTGTTATCATACTCCTTTCTCCTGGTAGTAATTTGTAACCAGGGGTTATTAAAGTTTTGTTTAATTTTACATAATGTCTGATTAACTCCAATCCAATAAAGATAATAAAATGACATTAGCTGATGAGACATCGTGCTACAGCAGAATGTGTTAAATGCAGCCATCTTGAAGTATTTTCTGCTAATGTTTAAAAAAAAAATTTTAAATAGATTACATTTTTTTAAAAGAATTTCTAATAGTAATAAGTAGCAACAGATAAATGGTTCAATAAAGTCAAAAACATGTATTAGTTTGTTTTAAATGCTTTAAGTAGGTATGTGGATTGAAAATTTTAAATTGATCGAAGGCTAGGATGTTATACATCATTAGAAAGGGTTCTAATACAGTATTTTAGGTTAAAAAAATTATTAAAATTAAACAATTCTACAAAAATATATGAGGTTTTTAGTAGCAAATCTTTGGCGTAGAGATTTGTTGAAGAAACTGTGGTCGAATTTAATTTTTCTTAACTTGAATTGTTGTAACTTGGTGGATTTTTATCTAAGTACCAATAATTTGGTATTAAAAGTTAGGTGTAATAGTGGGCTACAAATTTATTACTGCCTCCACTTACCAGGCATTTTCTGGGGGCTAAAGGGGTTGCCTAACCACCACCTTCATTTTAAAAATATGCATATTTTTTCATTAAAAAGTGCTTTTCTCAGCAAATGATAGTTTTTTTTTTACAAAACGTTGCAATAATTTTATTCCGAACCAACAGCAACAATGATTGGTGTATATTAAAGTTGGTAGTGATGGTTTAATACACCCAGATTTTAAAAATGTTTAATTGTTAATAATATTATTATTTTAAATAAAATAAGTGAAGTTAGTATAAAAAATGTCAAAAAAATTGTTTTACAAGATTTGGATTTACTGGTGGTGTACAAATGGGTTTGTTGGAGGGGTGTGTGCACTACCCACCCCTCCCCTCCCCCAACTTATAAGAAAGTAAATTAATTTTTATAATAGCGATATATCAAAATAATATCTCATTATTAACTTCAGCAAACAATGTTAATACACAACCACTGGAAATTAATTGACCATCCATAGAATCCGATATCTCAGACAATAAATGGATAATTTTCCTCGACTCATGGATGAGGTATAAAGAAATTAAAAAACTAACTGAGCCAAGAGATATCTATAATGAGCTTCGACTGACTTGCAGCGCAACAGTTAACAAGATGCTTTTCAATTTTGTTGGTCCAGAAAATTTAAACAATTCTGACGAAGCAGAGCTTCTAGCTCAACAAATCAGTTTCCGTTAAATCAATCCATCTTGAAGTATACAGACAATTGTTCTCAATGAAACAATCTGATGGAGAAATAATTACAAATTTTATCACAAGAATAAAATCACAAGCCATGATTTTAATAGAAAATGTGATTGTTCAACCTATAAATGTACATCCAATTATTCAGAGGATATGATCAAATCACAATTAATAGCAGGAAACAACAACAACACACCAAAACAAAATTCAAACGGAAATCAATTCATTAACAACATAAAAAAAGCTGACTGAACAACTATAAAGAATGGAATCTGCTGAGAAGGCATCCCTTTGTTTTTAACGCACAAGCAATAATACAAACAGCAGGGTAGCTTAGCTAATTTTCAAACTATTAAAACACATCGCACCAAAATCATTCAATTCCAAAACTGTATCCAATCAACCAATCAAATTAAATTGCAAAGGATGCGGCAAAAGGAGACACCTAACTGGAAGAAGGCAATGTCCCGCATATGGTAAAAAATGTAAAAATTACAGTAAAGAAAATCACTTGCATTATGTATGCGAAAGCACCAAGGCATCCTGCATAAAAGAAGATGACCAAAAAGATATATCATTCATATCATCATTAACTACTGACTAAGACTAAAAAATCAAATCTAACCACACAGAATATGGGATAAAAACATGTTTACTGTAAATAACCCCGAGCCATTACCAATCTTATCTGTAACACTCTAAATAGACCTAATGGCACATAAAAAAGTAAAACTTTCATCAAATAACTATATAAAACAAATAAAATTACCATATACAACAATATTAGCTATAACCGATACCAGTGTCCAGACATATTTAAAAATGGTCAATACCAGAACAGTATTTAATTAAATCAAGACATAGAATTCAGGGCATCATAGACTGCTGGCTCCTGGTTTATAAAAGGAACTGAAAGTTAATATCTTCCCATTGAAGATGAATCCTTAGCATTATTATATGGTTTAGAAAGTTGCAAATTGTTTGTGATGGGATGTCTTAACCTAATTGTTGCAGTTGACCATAAACCATTAGTAAAAATGTTCAATGATCAAAACCTAGACGAGATCAAAAATCCTCGAATCCTTAAAATATGCAAAAAAACACTAATATATAAATTTAAAATCATTTTGATCCCTGGAAAATATAATCTTGCTCCTGATGCTATGTTATGAATCACTAACAATAATAGTAATACCTCAAACAAAACATGGGATATTAAAAGTGGCATATTAGGAACCATTCATTCTTTATTTAATCATTTAATCATTGAATTTATTACAGAATCATCAATTGACTCTACATATCAAGGTTTATTGCAACATATACAAACAGGATTCCCAGAAAACGAACAAAATGTACCAACACATCTTAGAGAGTTTCGGTCGAAATGTTGTGATTTATACGTCATAAATATCCTCATATTTTTAGAGGGTAAAGTCTTAATACCAAACAAACTGAGATCAATTTTACTCAATAATTTATAGCTGCAAAAATTTTACTCAATAATTTAAAGCTGCTTGGGGTGTAAAATATTGCTTATCCTCCGCCTACTATCCACAAACCAACAGCAGTACAGAGTTTGCTGTAAGATCTATGAAACGTTAATTAACAACAAATATCAGCCCAAGTGGATAGTTAAACACTAACAAAATAGGAAGAGCATTATTATTGCACAGAAATACACCAGCCCAAGACATCAAAGCATCACCAACTGAATTATTATTTGGAAGAACAGTAAATTACCACTTACCAACTCCAATACAGTTTAGAAAAGAAGCTGAATCGGCCGATATGCACAAAAAATCAGCAATAAAACGATATCATAATTTGTTAGACTTTAAAAAACCACAATACCACCGTCTGCTAACCTTAGTTTCTAGCGTAGCAATTCAAAAGCATGGCAACCTACCCGTAAAATATCAAAAAAAACACAGGACAAATTATTGAAACCTTACCGCATCAACAATATTGAGTAAGAATAGATGGGAGCTGAAGACACACTTTACGCGATTGAAGATTTTCGCGGGAAGTATCCCCATTGACGAGAAACCACATTATTCCGGATATTCGATATCATCTAATAGTGTCCTCAAAAATTCAACTCAAAAATTTATGAAGCAACATGTCAGTTAAATCTCCCTTTCCTATTGAACAAATGATACCAACTAACAACTCATTTCCACCAATGGAATCTCCTGCGATTATCAAAACACTTACAACAACCGAACCTTCAACAACAACCAAACAACCTGAGAAGATCAATAAGAACAAGAAATATACCAGTCAGGTTAAAAGACTATATAATGTAAAAAAAAAAAAAAAAGCTTGTATAAAACGTCATACAAGTAATTATCATTGCTTACATATTTTCCGTTATGACATTTAGTTTATATAATATTGTGTTTACCATTTTATGTAATTAGTTTTAGAAGAGAAGGGAATGATTGTGCATGTTTAAAATTATGTTATTATACAGAACTTTTAAAGTGTTAACATTAAAGTGTTAAGTCTTTTAAAAATGTAAAATTCTCTTAAATGCTAAAATATGTATTGTATATTATAAACTATTACTACTAACTACTAGTATATTATAAACTAACAACAGTTTCAGAATCAATATTAACTATAATATATTTGAATCCTTATTTTGAAGCTAAGTCCTTTGATTATATTTTTTTATTAACAATGCTATATTATTTTTATTAGCTAAGCTAGATAAATATGAGCTAAATATAAAAAAATAATAAAAAGTCTTGCTTTACACCAGGTTGTTGCTTTGCACCAGGTTGTTACTTTAGTAATATTTGCAACAGTCTGCGCTTCATAAACAGAGTTTGTTTTTGCTGATATGTTTTTATAAGCTGCTCACTTGTTATGTACTTGTTTATTGGAGAGTCCCATCTGCATCAGGATCATAACCAGTTTAGTATTGAAAAATGTTCAGTTATCTATGCCACTATGAATGTTCAACTGTCCATACCACGAAAACTTCCATACCACAAAAACATGAAACATTTCCTCGTCTAACCATGAAAACTTTTTAACTCTCAATAACAAGAAATGTTCAACTGTCCATATCATGATAAATTTTGTCAGCATGTAATATTTATATTTGGAGTATTGAGCTAGATGTCACGTATTCTAATGTACTTTATTGTACTCTTTAGAAAAAATAAGATTTTAAAGCCAATCTATATTTTTCAAGTGGTCTTGAACTTTGAGACTCAAAACTACATTGTTGTTAAGAATGATGTTATCAATAAACGAATCTGACTCAACAAATTTGTCAAAAGATAAAATTTTTTTAAAATTTGTATCATTCTGTTTGCTGCATCAAATCCAAAATCTTTTTAAACAGTATTACTGTCATTCATATACAAAAATATTTAATTTTTAATTCACTAATACGATTTTTTTAGATCGTTATATGTCTTTATAGCTTAATGTGACTATTAAATTCTTTTTTTTCTTCAATCTGTGAGAGGAACATGCATGGTATGAAGCATGCAACTTGCTCTAGTTTGCTCTTTTCAAAATCAGGAGATGTTAGTTTATTCAAACTTGTGACCCTTGCTAAGTAGAAATAGAAAACTTTTTTTTATTATCTAATTATTAGATACTCCAGAAAGATCTAACTACCAATAATTATAGTTAACAGTTCAAGTAAGATAATAACAATATTTGTCCAGTTGCCTGGCTACTGGACATGTCTAATGTTACACTGCTTACCTTCAAATAAATAATTACTACTAATGCTTATAATTTCATTAACTGAGCAAGTGTATATTAATAAAATGATTTTGAAGCACTTTTTTTGTTGTTGTTAAATCTTTTTTATTGTTATCATTAAAACTTTTTGTCAAAAATGAACTTTCTTTAGAACTTAGTTTAAGTAGAAAAAAAGGAAATTGAATTTAAATTTTCTGATTCGCATTTTTATAAATGATAATATATCCATAAAAAATAATATATTTGAATAGTAGAACAGTATCTGATAGTAGAACAATATCTGAATAATAATAATATTGCAGTTTTTAATAATATTGATATTATAAAGAATATTATTATAATTTATTATAATTAATTTATATTTGTTTTTTAGAGTATAATAAAGAGAAATAGTAACTGCAAATGGGAAAATCTAAGAAAGGTTATAGATATAAATTTTTTGAATTTTATTATAGTCTAAATGTTTGTTATAGTTTTTGTTGTATTACATCTATGAGTTAGCAATTCTGTAGGATAAGTTATTATTGATTAATTTTAACTGCCCTTGTTGAGGGGTTTTATTATTAATACGCAATAAAACCCAGCACAAATCTGTATGTGCATTCAAATCACTTTGAAAATAGTTTAAATCAAAAACAAGACAAAAAAAAATTATTATAACAACAATCATAACAATGACACAGTAAAACTATATTTTTTCAATATTACCAGTAAAGTTATATTTGTTAGAAAAAGAAACAGTAGAAATACTACAGTAGAAATACTACAACAAAATATACAGTAGAAATACTACAACAAAATATACAGTAGAAATACTACAACAAAATATACAGTAGAAATACTACAACAAAATATACAGTAGAAAACTACAACAAAATATTTATTAGAAATACTAACAGTAGTAACAAAAAGTAGAACTGAAAAAATATAAAAAAAATAAAATAAAAAGTAAAACTAAAGTTTTTAATCTTTTAACGAAATATTTCTTTTTAACAAAACTTTTTTAACTTAAAATAAATAAAACTCCAAACACAAATAAAATGCTCTAAATATATAAAAATAAAAACTTCTAATCAAGTCCCATTGCAATAACCCTGTTTTAATATCTGAATTTTTAAGTGTATCAATTTCACAACCAATATTTTATTTCTAACAATGAGGAGAAAATAACTTGAGCTCAAAAGCTCAAGTAATTTTTTCTTCCTTGCGGTTGTTAATCTTTCTTTGATCAGCACTTAAATGTCTAGAGCTCTCTCAGGAGGTGTTCATTCACTTCAAATTATTTTCTTTAATAATGCAATGCGATGTTACAATACATCCTCAGAGGATCTTTCCATTTTTTAGACATTTCATTATTTTTAAGAAAAATATTTTTTATTCTCTTATATTTTCAGCTAATAATGACTGACTAATCCACTCAAATGCTTGAACTAAAGAATGATAAAAACACATTTTTCAATAGAATGAAAGCCTAAATATATTCTATGGTTACATGGCAGATAAATTGATGAATTTTTTATCAGATTTCTTGCTTTTTATGTTGCTCTTTAAAAAGATTTTATAATTTTGATATTCTTGTATAAATTATTTACTTTACTTTGTTTAACAATTTTTATTTTTAGAGCTACTAAGTGAAAATTTCAGTAAATTTGATGGTTTTGGAGTTGATTTTAAATGCAAGGTAGTTTTTCTTATTATTTTTTTTATTTTTTATTTTTTTACATCTTCGCTTCCAAAAAGGTTGCAAGCAACCACTATAAGAGTTGGAAGTTAATGGAAGAGAAAAGATGAAGTTTGTAGAGCAAGATAACGCTAGACAGATGACTTTAAAGGTTGCAAATTATATGAATCAGGAAAGTAAGATGAAGGAAGCGAATTCCAAAGAACTAATGTTTGAGGAAAAAAACTAGACAAATAAGAGTTTAGAACAGTCACAGAAAAAGGATGAGGTTTAATTGAATGATGAGTAACAAGAGAATGAATTTTAGTAGATGGCACATGAGGCGTTAACTCTTTAGAGCAGTGCCCATTATAGTATTTGTAGAAAAGGGAAAGAGAAGCTACATTATGATGATGTGATAATGGTTGAAGGTTGGCTGAAATAGCAGGTCCAACTATGTTTACAATGCGTTTTTGCACCATGTCTAAAAGGAAAAGGGCATCATTAGAAGATCCGCTCCAGATATGGCAACAGTATTCCATACAAGGGCGGATTTGAGATTTATAGAGATAAAGAGTAGAATCCAGAGTAAGAAAATGTTGAGCTCAATAAAGAGATGCAACCTTAGCAGATGCTAATTTTGCAATGGATTTGATATACAGTTTCCAAGAAAGATTGGAAGTAAGAGTTAATCCTAGAAGATGAAGAGTAGATGACTCATCGAGTGCATTACTGTTCATAACTATAAGAAGATCTAAATTGTTGCAATAACGATTGGCTGAAGAAAAAAAAAGAGATTTATCTGAGTTAAAGTTCACTAGCTAATGAAACCCTCATGTTGTAGCTGAAATGAAATTGTTTTAAAGCTCAAATGCCCCCTCCATGCAATCAGAGAGTGTTGGCTTCTTATCATGACAAGAGTAAATGGTAGTGTCCTCAGCGAACAATGCCACCTTAGATCTGAGAATATCTGGAAGATTGTAATGTAAATTAAAAAGAATATAGGGCCAAGGATTGAACCTTGAGGAACCCCTAAAGTTGCAGGATATGAAAAAGAGTGCTCTCCATCGAGGACAACTTTTATACTACAATTGGAAAGGAAGGATTCAATAATCTTGAAGATGTTACCAGATACACTGTAAGAAGAAAGCTTATGGAGAAGACCAGCATGCCAAACTTTATCAAGTTATTGAAAAGGTACATATTCAACATGCTAAGCTGGTGCTGCAGCTGAATATTGATGTAGAAGGAAATGATGGCCATTACTGTCTTTTATGTCTTGAAGATTTAGATGATAGGGAAATTGATATTATTTACAATTTAGCAGATCGTGAAGATAGTATAAATATAGAAATTTTATAATCTATTAATCTATATTGCTGGTTATGTTCAAATATATTCCACTGAAGAAATTGGAGATGATGCACAGGCTTTCCCAGGAAAGGCGTGCGGTCGCACGCCTTGTTTGTCCACGTATAAAATAAATTTTTTAGAAAACGTGACCGCTGCAATATTTCGCGGTAAAGTAGAACTCATCTGCAGGGAATAAAAAATAATACTAAAAATAAGAAACGAAATCTTACTAAAAATATTTTAATAAAAAAAAAGTTAACAAAAAAATATTCTTGTAACAAAAAAAGAAAAGTCTAAATAAATTAAACATTTTTTTCAAAATTTTTATACTATTTTTTTTTTCTTATTTTAGGCTTGTTATTTTCAGCGTCGAAATTTGATACAAGTCAAGGAAAAGACGACTATAAGTCATAAAAATTTCACGAAAATAAAAAGACTTGATATATAATTTATTCACGAATTTCATCAGTCAATATATTAAAAAACTAATTCATTATTTACGCTATACAAATTTGGTTAAACATTTTCATTTTATTCAGTTTTTACAAAGGTTTATGCAATGGCGATGACGTTATTTCCAAATAATTAGACAAGAAAATAAATTGCTGTTTATTATTAAATATATTATTTGAGATTTTATAAGTAACAAGATTTTAATGTGGAAAAAAGTATTAAAAGCTCATTTAAATAAACATTGAATAAAATTAATAAATCTAAATTGTTTCATTGCAATCATTAGTAAAGTAGTCTTCGCCCATGAATTCACTGTGTTTTTCATCTGAATCTGATGTGCTACCATCGTTGGAATAGTCATCACAGTTGCTGGATCCTTGATATTGCTTACCTGAACCCGATGGTTCGGAAGAACTTATTTCACTTTCAACTGGTATAGCCGCTTGCCTAATATTTGTATGAACTTCAGCATTATCAGTTTTCGACGTATTTTCTTTGTTTAATATTTTTGGTTGAATAGGAAATTTAACAACTCTACGTTTTTCCAAGTATTTGTAAACAGCTTCTTTTAATATATCTTTACGCTGATCATCTGTCCATACATGGCAATTTCCAGCAATAAACAAGCACTGTTCCATGTTACTATGTTTCATTCTGAGCCGATGGTCTGTAAGGATAGTAGATAGTGTACTGAAACATCTCTCTACTACTCTGTTCGACGATGATAAACAAAGGCACAACTCGGATAACAAAAGGATATTTGGAAAATCTTTTCTTTTATATATAAATAGTTTTTCCCAAATTTCTATGAAAGTTGAACTAGAGTAAAACGATCTTACGAATATTTGCAAAGTTTTCCATTCTTCAAAAACTGTTGTTTCTTTGAAGTTTGCTGCTTCGAGCGGTTCGCGAAAATATTCCATAAGGTAATTAATATTTTCCCATCCATTATCTTGATTGTTCGTCCAATATTTGGGATCAAGCCACGTCATGGACGCAAACTCAAGATTATCTTTAAATGATGCAAATCGACTATTAATTAATGGTATTAATATGTTAATGAATTCTTTTCTCAGCTCCAAAGCTCTTTCAACGTCTTCTTGCTTTGGGTTTATCATTCCTTCAAGTTTGATGTCGATGTATTTTATATTCTTTTTTTTTTTTTTTGTCGCCAACGATTATATATTCAGATTCAAGAGTAATAATACCACCTTCTTCTTTAATAATAAATTTTCGTGCAGAGCTACTGTACGCTTCGTCAGCTTTTTCTGCAGTCAGTGCAGTCAACTGTGCTATTGTTTGGACAATTTGAGGATTCACTTCAAAAGCAAATAAAACATTTTTTTCAAAAAAAAGCGACAAAGGGCTCATTGCCGCGAGTACATCTAGATACGCTCCGGTTTTGCATAGAAAAGCATATTTTGTTAATTTCTTTACAAGCCCCTGTATTTTGGCTCTTGTTTGGTTACCATACCCTTTGTTAGTTAGTGCATTTGGTAAGGCAACTAGATAAGCTGGCCAGTTATGCATTAAACTAGTGTAACCCTTAACTCGATGCGATGCAAATCGGGTTCCTTGAATTTTATTTAGAGTGTAATACTCGATAGATAAAGCAGCTGCAGCATGTTTGCATGACTCCTTCAGTTTACCTGACTTTTTTAAAAGATAAAATAGAGTTGTATAAAAATTGTCGCAATCCGTAAAGTCTTTAAATTGTTTTATAGCGTCTTTTATAGCAAGCTCTAATCTGTGATTAACACAGTGTATGTTAACTAACCATGGTCTTGTTTTTTTTAATTGAGTTAACGCACCACTATAGATACCTAGATTAACATTCGCTCCATCAGCTGTTGCTGATACCAGCTTTGTACGATAATTCGTAACGGATAATGGAATATTGCATTTAGCTATAACGTTTTCAATAAATACACTATCCAATGCCAATTTCAAGGAGTCAGCATCAACTCCACCAAAATCCGTCATATTACACAATGCAACAAAAAAATAACACGGGATACCAGCATTTTCAACTCTAACTAATATGGCTTCTTTTTCACTGCCTGTTTTCCGCGCTTGGCTACCATCGCATAGCAAAGCCATAAAAGATTTGCTAGCAATAATAGTCGCTACTTTCACTTTTATTACCTCGGCAATGCAATGAATAAATTCTCTGGCTAAAATAAAAATACAACTTAAATTAACTTTAACTTTAATTTAAAAGTTATTCCAAAATAATTATGTAAAATTACATTGAAATATTGAAAAATATAAAATCATAAATTGTATATATTTAAAGTGTTAAATATAAAAAAACGATAGTTACGGCATTTCTTAAGGGCTACCGCCCCCTCCCCACCTGTTCCCACACCAATGTGTGTGTGTATATATATATATATATATATATATATATATATATATATATATATATATATATATATATATATATATTAAATGAAGTTACCAGCATTTTTGTTGCTTTTTCCGTGCATTAATTGGACACCATTATCACGTTGAACCTTTATAAGTATCTCAAAATGACTATGTGGCATAGCAGGATGTAATGCCATTTCATATGCAGTGCGAATTAACTTTAAGATTGCTTCAAAAGTTGATGCATTTTTTGAGTTATCGGTATCCGTTATAGGACTCTGAGATTCATTTATTTTAACTATAGAAGGAGAGTTACTAATTTCCTCCAATCGCGCAGCCTCTTTATGTGCCTTTGTTGATAAATGCCTCATAACCTGTAATATAGGTATAATAAGTAAGATTACATCGTAATGTATAGCTATATATTTTTTACCTTTTTAATGTACTATACATTATAAATATTAAACCTGATGATGTGTTACAACATTTGTTCCATTTGTAAAAGCATTTAAGGAATTTCTAGCAATCCCCAATATTGAAGTGTGAATGCTGTTTTTATGTTTAGCGCACAGTTTGCACCAGATTTTAACTACAGTTTCTATATCGTTCAATTTTATAACTTCTTGACCGAGAAAATTATATTTCCACGATTGAACAGTTTTTAGTGATTTTGTGATAGGTTTTGTAATACTCATTTCTCTACTCTCTCTCGACTTATTCTAACCTGATTATTCAGAGTCAAGTCTCGCCTTTTATTACGTTGAAATTATTCAATTGCATAATTTTGTAATTACGAAAGAAGTTTAAAATAATTGCATTGCTTAAAATAATTGCCTTGCTTCTGTAATTATTGTTACAAAAATAGCTCCCTCTGGACATTTACTTTTAACACTCGTTCATAATGTCAATTAATAATTGCAAAACAAAATGTTAATTAATGATTGCAAAAATTTTTGCGCTCTTTTGTGTATCAATACATTTAAACATTTAAATGTATTTACGAAACGATTAAACACATAAATTTAAAAAATTTTTATAATTCTAGCGTGAATTTTTAAGTATTATCGACTGATAAAATGGTAAACAAATTTTACATTACAAGGTCTTTTCATTTTCATTAAATTTATATAAACTATAATCTTTTTCTTTTTCCTTGTTTTGTAATGATTTGATTTTTCATAGCTGAAATAACTACCACTCTAAAAAACAAGAAAAAATAAATAAATGAAATATAGATAAATCTTTGTTTTATTAATATTCATTACTTTTTTAATTTTAAAGCACAAACAGATTTCTTTTATTTACTTTAGCATTGCTTGTATTTTTGCGGTATTTTTGTTTAGCTTTGTTTTGGCGCAAATTCTTGAAACGCTTAATAATAAAACGTGGTCAGTTAATCAAAAAAATTTATTCTATGCGTAGACAAACAAGGCGTGCGACCGCACGCCTTTCCTGGGAAAGCCTGGATGCAGTTACATATGATGAAAAATATGGCAATTATTTAAATATTTTAAATAATGGAGTATAGAGGAGGACTAACTATTCCATCTGAAACGTTATTACAATGGTCTTTATTTTGCTATATATTTTTTTTTTTATTGGATAAAAGAGTTTGCAGAACATTTCTGATTTGACAGTTTACATTTATATTAGAGTTGTACAGAGTTTCTATTTCGAAGAAATAATTCTAATCACTGGCAAACATTTTTTTTAAAAACTTTGCATTACTTAACACTCCCAAAAGTAATAAAGAAACTAAACTCAAAGAAATTAAGTTTGTGTAAACATATTTTTTTCTATTTAGTACACAACTTTTTTTTTTTTTTTTTTTTTAACATTATTATTTCTTTTAAATTGAAAATCTCAATTAAAAATATTTTTATTTAACTTTATGAGCATTTTAAAAGTTATTAAAAAGTTGTTAATTAACCTTAAACTATTTTTTGCAATAAGAAATTAGGAATTTTTTCAAACCGACTATTAACTATTTGTATGTTTAATCTTAGCAAAACTATATAACTTTTACGAAACCGCCATTTTTTTTTTTAATTGGCCTTCAGTCAAAAAATTTTCTGCACGGTGTTGAGGCCTTCTGTAAAGAAGGCCTTAAATATAATTATAACATTAATGACATATTGGTCAAGTTTGCAAAGTTTTTTATAAAAGAAAGTTATTATTTTTTTATTTTTATTTTAATTCACCTCCTCAAGGCCGAGAAGGCCACTACAGACGAGGAGGCTACTTATTTGTGGCTATAACCCTCTCTCAACTCTATAACTCCGAAACACAAACCTTGATGAACAAGGCCGCTGCGCGGAGAAACGAGTTGAGCGCGGTACTACCAGGGACGTGGTGAGGATCGAACTCCGAACCACTCGTTTATGAAGCGAGCGCTCTACCACTACACCACTACCACCATTACTACATTTATAAAAGAAAGTTGTTTATAAAAGAAAAGCACTATTGTTGTAACTAATATGAAAAATACGGTCATTTTAAATAATAAACCAATAATTTCATAATAAACTGCAAAAAAGAACGTGAATTTAAATGTAGATGTTTTTAACTAGATTACTCTAACTTATTAATATAAAATTATTATACTCTAAAATTATTATCTATTTTTAAAATATAAGATTATTTAACTGATAAAATATGAACATTTTAAATATAGTTAATTGGTTTTTGTGATGTATCAGTTTCACGAGGTGATGATGTTTGTCAAGAAGCTATCAGTAAACTGAAGGTTAGTTTTTTGATTCATAAAAATGTATGAAAAATATTAAATTTTAAACTTTTACTGTTCTGTTTTAATAAATTTTATTATATTATAGTATGTATTACTTTTAAGCAACATGCATTAAAAATGAACAAAGAAAAAAAAGAACATAAACAACGGATCACTGTCAACATTACTCTGAAAGGAATCCGTTTACTTGATGAACAAACAGAGGTAAGATCAAACATTTTACTCTCTAAGATTTCTTTACTTTTATTTACTTATATTATTTTTATTTGACGAATTTTTATACAAGATAAATTACTTCAGAAATTATATCAATTCTGTTATCAATGTAAGTCCTGTTATTAAATATAATAAAATTATAATCAATTGAGGTAATAAGGTTATTAGAAATGTTATTAAAAAAAAACACATTTAAAAATAAATTTTTAACTTATTTTTAAATTAATAATAGACAAGATGCAATGAGAGTTTGCGAAAAAGACCTGTTGGTACAAGTTGGTTCCCGATATGATAAAGCCTATACAGGAGCTTTTTAAAAAAAAGTATATTTTTTTAAAATAGATACTGAATTACAGAAATGTTCACTAAACACAGATGATATTTCTCGAAGATTAGAGGTTGGAGATGAGTTAATAGTAAATGTTGTACTAGTTGAAGTTTTGGTTTTGTAAAGTTAAATATTTTTAATGTTATGCCAGAAATATTCTGGTTCATTTGCAGATTCATGGAGTATATTTCAGTGGTAGTTCTGTTTCGATTGTTTTATAATAGCTTTAACTTCATTTCTCTTGTTTTTAAAGAGCCGTTTGTCAATTACTAGCTTTGATTTATGAAATTTATGGAGTAGATTGTTACATATTTTCATATGGTATTTTACTTCCCCTGTAAGCCATGGGCATGGTTTGCCTCAAATGCGTTTTTTTAATATTTGGGTCTAAGGTTCCAAGACATTTTAAAATTATTGTATTGTTTAAAATTTCTATATGTTATTATTATTGGTTTGTACTTAGCATGATTGGATTTGCAAATGCATCCAGTCATATCATTGTCACTAAAAGATATCAGTAATACAAATGATTTTAATATAGGAGTTGTATTATTTTTATAAATTATGTCAATTAAGGTAGAAGATATTAATGTTGTTCTTGTAGCGCTTTTTATTAGTTGTTTGAAACCATAGAAATAGTTGTTTGAAACCATAGAATTGTAGCATAGATTTTATTTTGATACGATCATTTGGTTTTAAATAATTAACATTGAGATCTCCCATTAATATTGTTTCTATTGAATCAAACTTAGATATCATTTTTGAAAAAAGGTTAGGGAAGTTGGGGTTTAGGTTTTTTGATACAAGACACAAAATAATATACTATTTGTATTTGGAAAAATTATTTCAAAACAAATGCCCTATATTTTGTTGGTTTGTAGATCACTACATCTCACCCACCTTAACTTATTGGATATGCAAACTGCAACACTTTTGCCAGGTCCATTTTGACGTGCGCTGTTTAGAAATGTATAGTCCTCGTTATCATATAGCCCTCGTTATTGTATATGTAAAACTAATATTTTTATATATAATTTATTAATATTTGTATAGTTTAATTATATATGCAGTTTAATAATTTATTTTTTTTATATAAATTTTTTTTATATGCAGTTTAATTTGTATAATATTAGTATAGTATAGGTATTTTATTAATATTTGTATAATATTTGTATATGTAAATCTAATGTAATACAAAATGCATACATTAATACTTGATGCACGTATATACAAAAAAAGTGCATCCGCATCCACACGTATGTAAGTCAGTTTATTTGGGCAAAAAATAAACCCTTACAAAGTTTTAAAAAACGTTAAATGTATTGTTTAGTAAAATATTATGCAAAAAAATAAAACGGAACTTTGTGTATTTAAAATCAAAATTGGCAAATTTACAAACATTTTTTTTTAATGTAAACTATTCCTGAATTACAGGTGGAATAAAATAAAAGGTAGCTTAAACATAACAAACTGAATATAAAACTGAAAAAACTCAGAAAGTACAAACAAATCAGAACAAAAATAAAGCACAACAACAGTTGAGTAAAACAACAACAAATGGTACTGAGTTTAATGAATTAAGAGTTTTATACAAAACAGTGAAGCTGTCAAAAACTTTTACAGAAACGTCATTATTTATCAAAATCATTTTAATTTATTCATGATCTTGTTTATCAAAACCTCTATGAAAACATCAAAAAAGTTTGCTAATGCCTTCATCTGCATGAATAAGCACTCATTTAAACATTAATAAATTATATATCAATGGCCTAGAGTCAAAACCTCTAACTCAAAAAACATAGATTTTTATGTTTTTGCAGATTTGTTTAGAACTTGTTTTCCTCAACATGGAAAATAGTAAGTATAATGTTATATAACACACTAAATCATCTACCGGTAAAAAATCAAACCTTGTACCATATTGAGTGTGATAACCACATATAGTGTGTAGTGTTTTGTCTGCTAGTTTTATGGAACAATAATATGGTTCGTGGATTAAAGTATATTCTGTTATTGAACCTTGCTATTAATTAAGGTATTAAGTAATACAAACTGTATGGCGGCACTTACTTAATAACTGAGTTATTAAGTAAGGGTGTTAAATATGAACTTTAATAAAAAAAAATTTTTATTTCCGGTTAAATTCAGCTCTTCAGATTTATGAGGTTTTTATTCTAGGCCATCAATATATAAAACTTTATTATGATTTCTATGTTGAGTACTCCATATATTTTGTTGTGCAACACTGTCATAATTTAACTGAAAGTAATTACTGTATATTCAAATCAATCAATGTCAGTGACCACAATATATCAATAATATATATCATAAACTGTGGTTGGTGTTAAAATTGCTAAAATCAAAAGTTGTTATTGTACATGAATGACTGGCATGGGTCAAAAGTCAAATCATGTTGCTGCAGTAATGTATGGATTGGAAGCTGCTATAAGAAATGGTTTAAAAAACCTTGCATGTATAAGTATTTCAAATGCATGGTTGTTGTCATAATAAGAAATATCACCTTTTAAAATCAAAGACTTTTATCAGTAAATTTATTGCTTAAGTGGCAAAAAGAAACAAAAATATGTATCAACACCAAAAAATGATTTTCTATCAAATAATGAAGTGCCGTTATCAAATGACAATGTTGTTGGTTTATACCAAAAAGCAATCTGTTTGGTGCAGTGTAAAAGCCGAAAAGAGTATTAATTATGTTTTGACCAAAGTTATTATGCCATTGACTTGCCAAGCATTGATAATCAATTTTCTACCTCTTTATTGAGCACTGATTTTTTTTTGCAAGTTTAAAAGTAAAAAATGCCAATTGAGCTTATATAAAACAATTGGAAGAAAAAACGCAAGGCTAAAATAATAATTAGTTGGCTGTTTGAAAAGATGTTTTAGACGCTTCTAATGCTCACCTTATCAATGAATATATAAAAAAAAGTTACTTTTCTAAAGAGTATTGCTTCAATTAGCAAAATTTAGGTCAACAAATCAGTGAAGTAAGGGTCTAATTGGAATTACCTTTTGCACTACAGTTACATTTGTTTCAGCTATATATGATCTAGTAATAAACAGATTACAAACACTGTAGTATAATAAGTTATTAGAAAAATACATTTTTCGTATTACCTAAGAAATAACTCTTTACTTACCACATTTTCTTGTTGGAGAAAAAAGGTAAAGAGTTAAAAACAAGAAAAATTGCATTAGAATTCACTATTTCAGAGTTAATACAAAACAACAAAAAAATTACAAAACATTTGTTAAATAAACAAAAAAAGACTTATCCATCAATATTATGAATTGGAAATTATCAGAGAAATACGTCTTAAAAAAATTAAAATAATAATCAAAGGTTGAAGTAAGCAATTGTGATTTGAGATATCTGGAAAAATATCTGGTCTTCATAATTTTAGTTTATGCAAAACCGTCTACTTTGTTTTTATGGGACAAATTAGCTTAAATTTGTTAGCAAATAAGTTATAAAAACAAAACAAAACAATAACCTTACGACTACAAAAATAATAACACTCTAGTCACTAACTGCATTATAAAAGAATAACACTACAATAGTGTTATTACTTTTGTAACACACATATAACTATACAATTCATTCTTTATTTAAACAACATAAATGATCCCAAATTCAAAAAAATATAGTATATAAAATTACGCCCGTTTTTTTATTAGTAATATCTTTCAAAAATGATAAACTTTATAGAAAGTTTATTAATTCGTATTTTACATTTTTGTTCAAGTACATATTAGTTTAAGTTCCTAAAGTTTTTAATATTATTTGAATATTCGCTCAATTTTTTCTTTACTTAAATTTATTAGCAAAAAAGTTATAAAAAACAAAACAAAACAATAAACTTTTATAAAAGTTATTTATGTTGTTTGAACAAAGAATGAATTATAAAAGTTATAGGTGTTTTATAAAAGTAATAACACTATTATAGTGTTATTACTTTTATAATGCAGTTAGAGACTAGAGTGTTGTTAAATTTGCAGTCCTAAGTTTATTTTATTTTTTATAACTTTTCGTTAAGAAATTCAAGTTAATTTGCCCCTTAAAAACAAAGTACACCATTTTGCATAAACTAAAGTTTTATAGACCAGATATTTTTCCAGATATCGCAAATCACAATCATTTAATTCAACCCTTGATAATATAAAAACGCTTTTAAAGTTTTCTTAATTAGTCGGGTTGTACAATATACAGTTAAATTATTATTTACCTATGTTTTTTCTAATCTTCAGCTGACTTATGTTGGTGTTGTTTAGCCCACTTTGATTTTATTGCTGCAAAGAAACCTTAATTTACTACAGTAAGTTATGGTTTCTTTACAGGTCTTTCTTAGCAAGTCTGCAGCATTTAAACACAGTTCTTCTATATGACATCTCTGCATTTGATTTTGGGGCAATTCTTTATGATAATTTGAATTAGCTCTACATTGTTTTTAACCTTGTGATTGCAGAGGAAACTATGAACAACTATAACAAAACTGTTAAATGCCACTCTCTTTGTTCTTTTCAGGAACTTGGCAAACTTGATTCAGTAACCATAGCCTCAGACAGTTTCAAAAAAGATTTTAGAGGTACTTGAAAGGTGCCAATGACACCATTTTGATACCATAGCCTCAAAAAGACCAACATTCTTGACCTCATTGTTTCAGAAGCACAGCCCTCACCTATGAAACTGTTTTTATCTCCAATATCTTCCTCTAAAACTCAAGCTGGTTATCTTTTTTTTTTTAATATATATTAATAAAAAAATTTTGTTAAAAAAATGCAATGCAAAAAGATCAAGCGCTTATCAAATGCATAACACATATGGCTTTATCACAACACCTGCAGTAGGATGTCATTGGAAAGATATTTATCTGTGAATATTCTGTGTTCGAACCTCACCATGTCTCTGGTAGTACCAGACTCAACTTGTTTTTTCAAGTTGATTAATGTTTAAAGGGTTGAGAGAGTTGTAACCACATTGAAAACAAAATTTAATTGGACAACATTTATGGGATGCTCAAAACAGATAAGGTTTCGAGGAATCCCAGGTCTGAAAATAGCACTGTAGGTGTAAAAACAAATTGTATTTAAATGAAACTAAAAAATTAGGTGAGAAGTGCCAAAGTAGTTTTATATTTAAAATATATATTGATACTATTTAAAAAGAAAAGTTGTTAACCATTCAAAATAGTTTATGGTTATTCATTATTAGCAATAAGATAAGTTAAAATCTGATTTTTTTTTAATTTTATAGAAAATTCTATATGCACATCCAATTCAACGAATATCATTTATCAGCCATGACAGTGAAGACAAAAGAACTTTTGGATATATTGTGGGCACCAAAGAAGGCTATAAATTATTTGCAATAAGAACACCGAAAGAGGTGATTGTTTTTTAGTAAATAAATAAGTTTATTAACACAATTCTTTTTTGCATTTTTGGTTATATATGATAGCAAAACTTTTATTAATGTGCAACCACCACTGATTTATAACAATTTTATTTGATTTTAGATTAATGAATTTATAATGCAATGTAGAAGCTTTTTTTTTAGTTTGAAACAATAAATTAAAACAAAATATTTGACTATTGTTTATATAGTTGATATAAGTACAGTTAAATAGTTATATATGTTAAAACATAATTTAGTTACATATGTTAATTTCAGACCTCATAATATTTTAAAATATACTTACATATAATTATATATGATTATATATAATTATATGATTACATATAATTATATATGATTATATATAATTATATGATTACATATAATTATATATGATTATATATAATTATATGATTACATATAATTATATATGATTACATATAATTATAATTATATATAATTATATATTATCTTTGCTTTGATAAAATGAATTGAATGGGATTTTTTTAGTGTCTATCTTTGCTGCCAGGTGCCTTGAATCACTGCATTTGTTCATTTTATCAGTATTTAATGGTTTTTAATCAGTATTTAATGACTTAATAATTTGGTTATAAATATTAATGTTTTAATAGTGTTAACTTTTTATAAATTTGATAAAAAGCAAACTTTTGATTGAAAAACATACCGAAAACCAAAAAATTTGTAAGATTTTAAATTTTTATCTAATTTAGAAAAACAGTTCTTTTTGAGAATTTTTGCAAAAGTTTTGAGAATTTTCTCACAATATCTTGAAAAAATCTTGTTTCGCAGAGAAACATAATGTGAGTATAAAAAAATTTTTTTTTTCAGCTAGTCTAAATTAATTTCATTAGAAAAATAAATTTTTCTAATGTAATTAATTTGGACTAGCCGAAATGTTGTTATCGGTTTCAGAAAAATATTTGCCAAAATGTCAGTTTCGGCACCAAAGTTGAGCACCAGAAATTTTGGTTTATTTTGGTTTTGGCTTTTTTTCTGTTTCAGTCGATCACTAATCATAATATAATGCATTTATTGTTGAACACTACAAACTTGTAATTGTATTAAAGAACAAAAAAAAAGTGTTTTAAGTGAAATCACTGATAATGAGAAAACTAGATTATGACTCTTCCCAAGGCATATTAAAGTTAAAGAAGAACTTCCTTATAACTTTTTTATATTAATTGGTCTTGAACATACCTAATACAATAGTTTTGTTTTTTCTTTTAAGCATATGTGTAAATTCTTTTGAAGCATCTTCAAAAGAATTTGAATTACTATTTATAATAAATCAGTTCTATAATATATAAATAATATAAACCAATAATATTTTACCATATCTGTGCATTATTAGGCTTTTTTCAAAAAAATAAATATGACTGGATTAACAAACCACTTTTTAATTATTTATTAAGTTAACGTTATAAAGTGGTTTATAAATATTTTTTTAATTATATTGCATTTTTTGGTAATGAGTCTAAATAGCACTTTTTTAAGTTTTATTTTTTATTTATTTAAAAAAAATTGTAGAAAAGTTTACAATTTATTAGTATGTAAAGATATTATGTTAATAATATATAAAGATTACCAATTTCCATATATATACCAAATAATCCATCTGTATATGGTTTATTGAATTTAAATCTATCTTTAGAAATTAAAATTGAGTAAAACTAAATTTTTTAGAAAATTAATATTTCAGTTTCAGTGGCAAACTATGGCTGTTACAAGAGCACATCTGACTTGTCCTGTTTATGGCATTCAATGTGAACTTGCTTCTCGCAAGCTTCTGTTAACAATTTTACACAACATTATTTTGTTAAATTACAATTTCCCAGGATTGCCAAGCACAATAGTTTTAGAGTTTCTAAAATTGTGACAGACATTTGGTTAAAATCTGACATTTCAACTGTTACAATGTAAAGAGTGTAACAGAAAGTAGAATCTTTGCACAATAGTTTGAAAATGGTTTTTAAAAGAAAAATTGATCCAAATACTTCAGCAGTATCAATTGCTAAGGTGGAAAGTTTTGTTTTTATGGCATTGCAGCATGTCATTGTTTAAAAAAAAGTAGTTGCACATGCCCAAGAAAATCAAAGGTGCTATTTCTTAAGTACTAATTTTTTAATGAATCAAAAAAATGAAAGAAATATGGTTATTGGTTGTTAGGATAAGGAAAGTAAGTTTAACATTAGCCTAAGCATTTGAAAGAAGCAAAAAGCGATAAAACACGATATCTTTTCATCTAGCAAAAGAAGTATTAAAGCATCAGTTAGTATTGCCTCTGATATAGATGCATAAAATACTTCCATTGATGAGGAATTTATTGACACTCAGAGCAATGCTGGTAACTATCGATTGTCAGATTTCTGTGATACAGGTAGCAAATTTGGTGGAAATATGAAATTTCCAACAGTTACTAAAGAATGTGACAGGTATGGTGTATCTGATGCTGTTGGAACTGCAATTCTGCATAACCTAATCATGCAATTGCATAACCTAATCATGCTATTGCATGCTATTGTGTTACCTAATCATGCACTTGCATAACCTAATCATTCTATTGTGTTACCTAATCATGCTATTGCATAACCTAATCATGCTAGTGTGTAACCTAATTATGCTATTGTGTATGGTTTACAATAAGTAAAGCTATTTTAATCTAAAACGCGTTTTAAAAAAAATTTAGCTTTTGGATCAAAATGGTTCTATTACCAGTATTGTCTATGAATGCTTTTGGTGAAAATCTATAAATAAAAAATACAACATGTAAGTTCACAGTTACATGTTGAATTTTTTTTTAGATTTTGCTTTTTAAAAAGGTATAACCAGAAAATACCAAGTTATTTTCTGGTCATAATAAGTTTTTGCATTTTTTATAGCACAAATTTTTACACAGCATATATTCTAATTATCAAAACTGACATATTTTCAATTAGAAGGCAGCAAAAGAAGGAAAAGTTAATTAATTTTTTTTTTAATGACGTTTAAATGTTAGAGCAATTTTTAGAACATTATTTTGCTATTCAAAGTAAATTGAATTAAAAAAATACAAAGATGACATACCCTAATACTTACATATTTCTTATAATTTTTATGTTTTTAAAAGAGGGTTTCAAGTTTTAACACATGTTGAATTTATAAAAAACTTTTTTTTTAAGTTTTTATAAATGTTAATGTATGGGAAAACTTTTTTTCAAAAAAACATTGTATACAAGATAGGTAATGCAACGTCTTTTTAGGTAAGTAAAATGTAGTTTAATGTTTTAAAGCTTAATTAAATAAATCAAACCATAAAATCTTGCTTAAAGAAATAGTTGGCTTAATAAAATAGTTGGCTTAACAAAAGTTTTACTCCACTTGAAGAAGTAGTTGACTATGTTTTTTTAAATACAAATATTATAAAGATGAAATTTTTAACTTAATTTGTATTTATATAAATGTTCAAATGATTGTTTTAAACTTTCATTATTACATTGTATTTATAATACGATATAGTATTGTATTTGTTATTTTTTTTTTACTTTGTTTTGGTAATTGTTTAATTGTGAATTGCTTTGATAGGCTGAGTTAATAACAAAAACCTTGAAAGAGTTATTCCAAGAAGTTTTTGATCGTTACAAGAGCGATAAAGAGGGAAATCAAAAAGAATCACAAGAAAAAAACAATTTACCAGCTGACAATGTCCAAGAAACAGAAACGTTTGACAAAAATGAAATAAATGAGGTTTTTAAGAATGGTTATTTATTTTTGAACAATATTTGATTAATTTTCCCTTGCACTCTGTTTATTCATCACATGCCTCCAAGCACCCTGTTTCTTTCAAAACTTTTATATATTACCCTTTTAGATAGCAACAACTTCCTTAGTTTCCACCTTTTCACACAATATACTTTTTCATTCTTCTTACAAGCACTTTATTTCTATCATAACCCATTTCCTTTTATTTTATCTTATTGATATTTTATTTCTAATTTAGAATCGAACTGAAGGAGGTTTGTTGAACTGGGATACCCTTAATGATCAAATAAAAGTTATGCAAAATGTGAGTATTTGTATTGATTTCTATTTAATTTATTGGACTGAATTTGTTTAATTTTTGTATAATTTGCTTTTCTTTTTTTCTTTTTTTTTTTTTTCATCTCAGCAATTGTTTTTTATCTCTATTATTTAAATGTTTTTTACTTTGGTTAGATGAATAATACTTATATTGTATTTAGGGAGGTTAGCAATTTTTCAACATTTTAAGAGCAGTTTTTATTGAGCTATTTTGTAAAAAATTCAAGCAGATTTTTTTGGTAATAAACACATTAAATAACAACAATGTTATTTAATGCTTTTACAATAAGTAAAGGAATATTAATCTAAAACGCGCTTTTAAAAAAATTTAGCTTTTGAATCAAAATGGTTCTGTTACCAGTATTGTCTATGAATGCTTTTGGTGAAAATCTAAAAATAAAAAATACAACATGTAAGTTCACACTTACATGCACTTTTTTTTAGATTTTACTTTTTAAAAAGTTAAATTTAAAAATTACATTAAAACATGCTTTTGTTTAATAGTTATATAGTAGGGTGTATAAAAATTATTTTTTTAAATTTTGTTTCATCATAAAGCAAAAACATTGTATAACGATTATTAGTATTAATTGTTTCTAGTTTTTTTTTTCCTTTTACAATAAAACACATTTTTTGCTATTTTTGTAGGTAAAAAAATTGCAAATTTTAGACATGATTGGAAAATGAAAACTTTATTTTAAGCTGTAGCAATAACAGGGTTTAATTATCTGATACATTTGTTTATGTCTTAAACTGGAAATATAATTTGAATTCAAGGCTTTATTTGTTATGATGCAGACCTTACAGGCCTAATCATAATAACTAATATATAAAAATTTATATTAAGTGAGTGTGAGAGAGTATCTGAGATCATTGCAAAAGCATGTTTTTCCAATGTATATATGAGGCTTTTTTTTGTATCACTGGATTGACGATAGTTTTTATTTCACTACTGACATACCAGCCTACCCCTTTGACGAATTTGATCAAGTCTTATTTGAAACTGCATTTGGCAGTAAACTTTGATGAAGAACTCAATATATATTCTGTTTTTAGTGGTCACTCATTTATCAATTTTTAGTTTTACAGAATTTCAGTTTATTATCAAATTTCAAATTATTGTTTACAAGCCAAACGCTTGTGGACAATACTTTGTAGATACTACACATCTACAAAGTATTAGGCAAGTATTTTCAGTTAGAACTAAAAGATTTTTTAGGTATGACAAATTTAACTCCTGACATCAGTTTATTGACAAGGTTTTTGAGGTGGGGGTAGTTTATTGGCATGTTTTATAACAGTGCACAGTGGGCCGAAATTATTATTAGCTGGACAAAAGTAATAACTTTTAAAGTATTAATCAGATTTTTCCCATAATTTCCAAGTTGAGTATGTTCCATACTACAAATTTAATGGTACCATTAGATTGTTTATTTAGTTGCTATGGATACCTAGATTCCATAGCAACAGTGCATTTTGCATAGTTACCTAAATTAAGAGACTTTCTTAAAATGCCAAATTTATTAACTAAACTGATGTTAATGCTACAATCAAGGCCCGATCTAGAACAACACAGACTATAGTCTGTGTTGTTCTAGATCGGGCAACACAATTCGGGGGCCCCCTTGTCAAAAAATTATTTGAAGGAATAAATGTATCCTCATTTATTGAACCCTGAGGGATTTAGAATTTAGACAGTTAAAACTTACATGTATTCAAATAAGTATATTTTTTTCCTTGATTTTTCTTATATAAATACATTTAGAATCTCTTTAAAATCTAGACTTTTTGTCACTTCGCTTTTGATAGACATTAATGCCAATCCAGATGAATGATCTTTCGTCAGAACATTTTGACACAAGAATGGATAAAAATATCCTTAGAGCAGTTTCCACCTTTGGAAATGTGTGCGAAATGCCACTGTCCTTTATTAATTGCAGCATTTCATTCGGGTTGTTGATGTTAGGTACTAAACTCTTCTTTTTTTTTTAGGTAAAAAAAGGTACAAAACTCTTTTTTTTTTTAGGGTAAAAAAAAAAGCTTTTTAAAGTTTTCTCTAGCATTCTGAACAAATTCTGTAAGTGAATCATATAATGGGGCAATGGTTGATAGATCACAAGAGTATGACTGCAGTGTTTTATTGACCTTATTGATCCTTTGAAGCAATGTGTGCCAGATTATTGTTAATAATACATTTTCGAAAGATTTTACTTTCTCCAGCAAACAATTTGCTTCAAATCTTGTATTGTCTTTTTCCGTTTCATCATGAACCATTTGCGTCAAAATTAAAGTGATGGCATTGTAGTCTTTCCTTAATGCTCGAACCGCATCTGCGTTACCAGACCACCTGGTTCCAGAAAACGATTTTAAAGTTAGTCCTTCTTTTACGGTTTTTATGTTGGAAGTGAATAACTCCCGCCTACGTGGAGAAACTGAGAAGAATGTGTACAATGCTTGCACAAATCCAAAACAAGCAGTTGCAGCTCTACACAACTCCACTGCATTCACTTCCACCAAATTAAGAGAGTGAGCAGAACAGGGAACAAATTCTGCTAGAGGATATGCAGCTTTTAATCTTGTTTGCAACCCAGAGTATCTTCTAGCCATGTTACTTGCATTGTTATATGATTGTTCGCGACAATATTGGAGATCTATTCCAAGATCTTAAATTATTTTGGTTACTACTTCATATAAATTTTCTGCACCATGATTGTGGAACAAAAGTCAAAAATTGTTCTACTGAAACAGACTGCAAATATCTCACCACCAAACACAGCTAGTCAATATGCGTTATGTCTGGTGTAGAATCTATGATGATTATGAAGTACTTGGCCTCCTGAAGTTCTTTAACAATATATTGTTGCACTTTTGAGGACATAACTTTTAAGATTCCTGCCACAGTCTGAGAAGACTAATAGTTGACATGGCCCTTTCCTATATTACCATGTTCACCAATGTGGCCTGCTAAGAAGGGGTCAAACTTGCTGATAAACTCTGATAAACCTAAAAAATTGCTATTTTGTTTAGAACCAAAGGTTTCATTATCGCCAAAAATATCCAAACCTTGCTGTGCAATAAACTTGAATACTTCAACAACACACACTATAACATCTCTCCAGTATGTACGTTCATTTTGATTTTGTTGTGCCATTTGGCTACGCCCAGCGGTTTTGGAAAGTTGGCACACACTAGTATGATGCAAAAGTGGCATTCCATGACTTGCTAGTCTTGATGTGACATTCTTCCAGCCCCTGAATCCAGTGGTGCAAAGACCTTGATCGCTGTTTCCAAAAAGCTTGCAGACATAGCAAAATACTGATTTTGAACTTGGAGAATATATGAGCCATTCCCGCTGAATTTTTTCACCGTTTTTTTTAGGCGGAAAAAATTGTTCTTTGAACACATTCTAACTTTTTTTCCAATTTGTTGTCCCGAATCAGATATAAATTCTACAATTTGCTTTGGTGGATTAAGAACAAAATATTCTCGAATTGTCAAATTCATAGGAGGCCACAGAGCAGGATCATCCAAGTTATCAGGCTTATCTTGCAATGTTACAGGTGAATATTTAATATTCATTGAACAGGGATCTCCTGGCAACTAATTCTTCTAAAGCAATTTTTTTTTTCAACTGTAATTTTTTCAACAGGAGGATTTTCTTCATGAGGAGCAATTTCTTCATCAGGAGCACTACGAACAACAAATTTATCCAATGACATTCATTTAGGTTTTTCTTGAACAAATTTTTCTTCTTTTTTTTTTACATTTAGAAGATCCATACGGATATTTTCTCGAAAACATTTCCAATAGCTCAATATAGAATATATAGGGGTTAAAATAGCGATTAAAATAGTAATGTTTATATTCGCTCTCTGGTTAAATGAAAAAAGCATTAGGCTAGAAAAGGTAATCGGATTACTGGAAATACAGCTTACGTATAGTGGCTTTTAGGATTACCGTAATAAGTGTTGGAAGAGTAAGTATAATATATTTACTGAATGTACAGATTTTACTGCTTAAATCGAAACAAATCATCTTGAAATTGATTCAGTTCTTTTTTAAACATAAAAAATTATTTATAGAAAGAGGTTAAAAAATAAATTAAATCACAACTTACAATTTAAATTTTAAATTTAAAATATCATAAAAATTCATATTTTAAACATCCTTAAACAAGAAAAATAAACTAAATGTATATACCATCAGTGTAAATCAATAAATCATCTTTATAATCGTCATTTTTATTGCTTTCTATCTCATCTATGAATTTTTGAATTTCTGTAAAACATAGAGGTTAATATTTGTATATTTAAAAACATTTTAGTTCTTTTTTACCTAAAAATTTTTTAAATAAAATCAATATTTTTAAATTTTACTGTTACGTCAGTAAAGTTTTGATTGGCTAAAAAAATATTAAAAGCTGAAATTTTGGGGGCCCTAGGCCTGGGCCTAACATGCCAGGTGAAAGATCAGGCCCTAATTTTTGGTGTTGCTATGTAGTTTTGAGTTCTTAGAAACCAGTTTTTTTTTTTTTAATGAAACTTTTGCTTAATTCAAAATTTCTTTAAAAAAAATGAAATAAAAACTTAGAAAACAATCTTAAATCTAAGGGTTTAAAGGTACAGTTAATAAAGTTCAAATTAGTTGTATCTATTTAGTTTAATTGTCCTTAGCAACCAAATAAAAATCAACAAGCTTTCATACAGTTATAACTATAGATAACTTTATAAAGTATATGTAAGAATACAAGCAAATTGGTATATTCACATAAACATTTATTTACATAATATGCATTATTTTATTATATAAACAATTTTATCAAATAAATAAATAGTAATAAAGTAAACAACATCTTAAATACCAACTAAAATCAAAACTATGCATTTGCAATTTATAGTTAGTCAAAAATTGGAACCTCTTTGAGTATTCTCTAAATAAAATAACATGTAACATCTTTATCATACTGACATCAAGTTCAAGAATTTGAGCAAACTTTTTTGCATTCTAAAAAACCTTCTAGCAGTGTTTCCATTATTTGATGACCCAGAGTCACCAGACATTTTCTTTTCAAATATTGTCCTTGTAGACCACTTTTTCACCGTTAATTTATAATTAATTTTGAGAAGACACTATGCTTTTAATCCAAGTATGGAAAGTTACAAGGCCAAAGCAGAGACCTTTAGCTGCATTAAAATGATTCATTTTTATTGTATTGCTTCCACAAACTGAGCAACACTGAAAGGATATAGTTGCTTTAGATGTTGTATCAACTTCGAATTAAATAAACTAGCTTCTTCTAAAAGATTTCTGTTTTCTTTCTCAACTGTTACCTGAGTATAAATCCTTTGACTAGTTGAACTATCAAACTGAACTTTGGAATATGATTTTAGTCTTTCAAGATTATTCATGGAATCGATAACTTGTTTCTATGACTGCATTAGGTGTATTGCTGTATGATCGACTAATGCTTGAAAGTTTATTTTTCCAGAAAAAATTATTAATAGTCCATAATGTTTGTTCAGAAAGACAATGTTCTTTACCAGCACCAACATTATTGTGTGCAGGATAGAGAACAACTTTTGCTCACATCATTAATTTTCAAGTGTTGGTAAAAAGATTTGCTCATATTATTATCTAATATGAGTGCTAGAGCTTTTTTTAGAGTGTTTTGAGCATGTTCTGAATCATAAGGTTGCTTTACAGATATTCTTCAAACTACTTTTGTCATCTTTAAAAAGACTACTAGCATATAACTACTAGCATATAACAGTTCATTCGAAGAACTGTTTAATAACTGCTACTTTACGACTCTTTGTCTTCTTTGATGAGTTCTTAAATGATTCTACAGGCCTACCACTAACTATAGATTTTGTTTTATTATCCTAATTTTTTGATGATTTAATAGTCTTTTTATTTAGGTTGGAGTCAGGAATTAGGTTACATAAAATTTTCATAAACTCTTTATACTTTGACAAAAAAGTTACAAATTGAGCATCAAGTTTGTCTTTTTCATTAGACATAAATAAAGATAAATCATGAATTGATGAACTTGATATCTTGTAATTGTTGACATATTACTAAAAACAGTATTAAACTTTAAAAAAAAAAAGATTTCATTTTACATTATTAAAGTATTATTATACAGTATTAAAAAGTAGCAGGTACTAGCAGCTAGATAAAGAATTTTATGAAAGCATATTTCCTTCAAAATCTGCATAGCAGATAAGGGCAAAATGGAACACACATTTTTCCTTGTTGATGTTTCAAAAAAAAGTATAAAAAAAGGAAATTTGCTACCAAAAGTTATGTTAGCACTGGTTTAAATTTTTTTTTTTTTGTATTCTTTTTGCTTTATAAATTTTATACTCAGGTCATTAGGAAAGTTCGTAGAACTCCCCTATTAAAAAAAAAAAAGATTTTTTTAATTTTATTTTTATTAAATGTTCAAAATAATGTCCATCATTATACAAAGTTGCATCCTTTCAAGCCATTTATGAAACGTTTTTTTATACTCCTCTTTGGATATACTTTCAAGTAGCTTCGTTATGTGGGTTTTTTAGCTTTCGACGTCAGTATCGTCATCAAGCTTTTTTTTATCAAGTTGAATAGCCAATAATCGGATGAATAATGAAGTCTGGTGAGTATAGTGGATGGCGAATTATTGTAATTCCAGCTTGGTTTATACAATTTGTGACGGTTTGATTTACATGGGGTTGAGCGTTATCATGGAGAAAATGGAAATTGCTTGTTTTAGGTCTTTGCTTATTTATTTCACATATAAGAGGTTTCAAGCAATTTTTTATATAATATTCGCTAGAAATAGTGTCTCCCTTTTCAAAGTAACCCAAATAAACAACACCTACTGTTTTAGAACATGCTCTTCGTCTGAAACCTATTTCATCTTACTATAGTTCTTGGATTTTCACCTTCACTGACCCAACTAATGTTAGCTGACTTGTGTCCAACTTGTCTCAAATAAAATCACGACTCATCCCCTGTAACAATATCACATAGCCTCCATGGGCTGCTTCTGAAAAGGGCTAAATTTTCCTTACATATCTTAGCTCTATTCTTTCAATTTTGATTGGTTAACTCGTGGGGGTATCCAACGTGATGTTAGTTTTCTTTTTTTAAGTGCGTAGTGAATGATTTTGTTGATTGTAAAATGATTCATCGACGTCAGTGCTTCAATTATATATATATATATATATATATTTATATATACATATATATATATATATATATATATATATATATATATATATATATATATATATGTGTGTGTGTGTGTGTGTGTTGCATATGGGTTTTGTTCAATAATGGCTCGCACACATTCAATATTCTCAGCTGTATGCGTAGTTTGAGGGTGCCTTGAGCGAGGATCATATTCAAGACTCTCTCTACCATCTTTAATTAAAGTAGCCCACTTGGCAACTGTACTATATTTTGGAGCTTGGTCGCCATGAACTAAAACCAATTCATTGGTTATGGCTTGTGCTGAAACTCCAAGTAGAGCAAGGGTTTTAATATATGCTCAATATTCAAGCTTTTCTATTTTTAAATTTTTTCTTTCAAACCTATATAATAAAATTTAAAAAACTTTTTTAATAAACATTCAAAATATTTCAACAAGTACTTAAAATGTTCATAATTAAACACAGTTTAAGATGATATATAAATATTTAATTATTTCCTGTTTTATTGTAACTTTATAGATGAAGTTCTACAAACTTCTCTAACGACCTAAGTATATTAGCAATGGTTTGATTAAAGTTAATAAAAACATTTAATCATTATAACAAAAATTTATTAAACACTTTTGCTTTGTAAAAAACTACATTTATTCGCTTTGTCACTTTATTTTTTTTTTTTTATTTTTTTTTTGCAAAAACTTTACTTGAAATAATTTTTTGTTAAGAATATTTTTTTTTTTTAATTTAATTCGAATATTTTTGACGTCCCCAATATATCTAATTAAAATTTTTTTTTTTTAATTTAAGTTTTCAGACATAGATTTTTACAGTGTAGTGAGAGCATTTTAAAAAATTTATAATAATAATTTTTTTCTAAGAGAAACTAGCCCCCCCCCCCTTCCCGCCGCTCTGCTAAAACTAATTTCAATTAAAATAGGGACATTTCACTTGACAAAAACTCATGAAACAGTTTCTTTTGTCAAAAAACAACCCTCTAACGGCAAATAAAGACATTAAAATACTTTCCTAAAAAATCAAAACTTTTATAACTGATTCAATGTGTAGTTTTGAACTCAATTACATTCTAATGTAATTGAGTTCAAAAAGTATAGTTGAGATTTAATTTGTATTTTTGTTATTAATTGGTCGTTTATTTGTTTTTAATTAAAGAATTTATCATGCATTGGTTAATTGACCATTTGTTTTGAAACCATTTGTATTAGTTAGATTAATGTTTTATTTGGTAAAATCAAATTTTCATTACTTTTATTATGAGGATATTTTTAGGATGTCAATGAAGATTCATCTTTTATGACAGACTTTCAAGGTCAAAAACAAACAACCAACCCATTTGATGATGACAACTTTGTTTTTAAAACTGAAGAAAACATAGATTTGTTTGGAAGTGTTTCTTTATTTTCAGACACAACTACAGTTAAAACTAATAATAATGCCTCCGATGACTTATTTAATCTAATAGCTTCTCCTCCCCCTGTTCCTGAAAGACATTTTTCTGATGATTTTTCTGACGGCTCGCTATTAATCAGTGATCCGTTTGCTGAATTAAAAAAGAACATTAATGAACTGCACAAACAAACTAAATTTCAACAACAACAACCATTTGGTTACCAAGGCGTGTTTCCTTCGACTCCTGTTGCTTTTCCCCAATACCAACAGTCTGGGTTTCAAAATAGTTTATACCACCAGCCTCAACTAGCAGTAAACAATCCATTTGCACCTACTGCAAAGTTTCCTCTTAATGTTGCTTCTCATCACCAGGCACCAAACAATGCTGTTCCACTTCAACCAGCAATGAACAACCCTTTTTTCCAACAACCTATGCAATCTCAAAACTTTTCTGCCCAAGAAGACAATTCTGGCTGGACTGTCACTCGACCAACTCCTGCACCGAGACAAGACGTTAAAAAACCGCAACTAAGTACTCAAGATCCTTTTGCTTTCCTAAATAATCAAACTGGTTCTAAAAACTCCACTGTCTCCGCTTCGTCTCCGAAACTACTCAAAGAAACCTCGACACCTCGTAACGATGTGTTTGATTTGCTAAGCTAACTCAAACTATGGCGTTAAAGAAATTTAAAAAAAATTGTAATAAAATGGTTTCTGTCTAAAGTGGTGTTAATAGTTGTTGTTGTTTTTTTTTTGTTTTTGTTTTTTGTTTTAGTATAAATATATTTTTCATATATTTTTATTTTTATCTTGTTTTTAAATTTTTAAATCGATTATTGAATAGTTTTTCAGATTATTTTAATGTGAAGAAAATATTAATATATAGTACAACAAATTAAAATTATAGTAATTCGACATGCATATTTATAATTATGTATTTTTTTAAATATAGTCAAATTTTTATATTCTATTTTTGTATTTACGTTCTTTTATATTGTATTTTTTATGAAGATGATTTAATAATTTTGCGCTAAATTTATTAATAATTTTCTCCTTTTTTTAAACGTTTAAACAACCAATAAAATAATAACTTTTTTATTTATTTTTTAGAAATTTTTCGCCCTTCTAAGTTTGGCGTCTGGGGCCGCAGCCCGGCTAGCCCCACCCTTAGTACGGTCCTGTTGGCAACATCCACTTTCTCAACTTTGCTTTTAAAATGTTTCGATAATTTAGAAAGTATGCTTTTAGAATCTGCTCGTTTCTTTCGTTTTTGAATTTGAAAGGTAACATTTTTGAAAAAGCTTACATGTTCATAAATTAAACTTCACAAAATTCATAAAGGAAATTCTCAAAATCACAAAAATAGTTGGATGATTCAATTAAAATAATGTTATCAATATCTTGTGACAAAAGATCCGCCATCTTTTTATCTCTCCGCAGTATATTTAAAATCACGAAGACTGTCCGTGCGACTATCTTTCCATAACTCATCGCTATGCTGTTTTAGTCTAGTCAATTTTTACTCTAGTCAAGAAATCTTTTTTTTTTTTTTTTTTTTAATATATATAGTTATAATATATATACATAGTTTACATTTGTTAGTTCGTTTTTACAATATAATGAGAGTAAATAAAAAATTAATACAAATTATAAAGTAAGCAAATACTACTAACATTTGAAAAACTAGGTAGCTGAAAGAAGATCAGTAAGATCTTATCGTCAGAACCTTATACTAGTGTAAACAAAATATCATAAAGTTACTATAAGTACAACAAAATAAAAATAAAATATACATACATATATCACTTTGTAGTATATATACTAAAGTTTAATAAATTTTTCCATAATATAAATATTATTGTCAAATTTTGATAATACGGGAGAGAAAAAGATTTTTCAGCTTAACTTTAAAAAGATGCAAAGAAGTAGGTAGATCAAAATTAAAATTAGGCAAAACAATTTTGCTCCAAAGATGGGGTGCACGATAATCAATGCAAAATTGGTTAAAACTTGTTCGACAAAAAGGCTCATATAGAAGGTTGATATTTCTTAGAGAGTATTTATTGGTAGGTTTCAAAGTAATTAAATCATTAAAAACGGCAGGAGAAAGATTGTTTTTACATATATATACAAAGCATAAAATATTAAAAATATTAAGTATTCTCATTTCAGAAAAAAGATGTTTAGAGTGAGAATAACGATCAGCAAAATTAATTACACGTATGTTTCTGATCTACTAATTGTCTCTGCCAGTCAAGAATTTGCTTAACAAATAATCACTTTTTGCTTGTGCTTTAATACTATCAAGTACTTTTTCATTCAGTTTTATGCATTGTCAGTTTTATTATAAAACATTCAGAAAAAACAAGAAAATTTGCGGCTACAATACTTCACTAAAATATTGAATTTTTTCTCACTGTTTTTAATATGAATCAACAAGCCAAGTTTATTATATTATTTAACAAATTTTTGCCTTATCGTAGATAGGTATGTTGTATATGTTTTGAGTTCAACGTAAAAAATAATTGATAAAAACGCTTAGAGCACGGTAGTTGCTTCAGTTTTTGTTGTAATTAGAAAGGAAACGAGCGCGAACGCAGGCTTCCACTACCAGAAATTATACTGTCGAGTTACCGACGTTAGCGGTAATCGCAGAGGTCAGCCGGTGCGAAGTGCAATGCACAAGCCTCACTCTGGAAGAAGCCCCTTGTGGATCGAACTTACTTCCCAGTCAGGTAAGTATGTTGGCATTACAATTTTTTGGACATCTTAAAATTGTTACACAGTTCTGCTTGTGGGTTTATTTTAAAAACTCATTCAAACACCCAATCAAAATAAATAAGCAAACAAACAAAATCTAATGCTTCAAAGCGTTTAAATTGCTTCAATTTGTTGTTAACCAGTATTTAGAAACGAGAAATGGTTTTTTTATAAGTAAAGATCAGTAACACTGTCGTGTAAAAAATTTTCAAAATTTTTTTATAAATAGCCCATATGGTTAGCAATATTTTGTTTTGGCTGTGACATTACCTACTGCAGTATATTATTTTAAAAACAAAACCTAAAATGTAAAAAAAAAAAGTAGGTTTAAAAAAAACTTTTTTTCAGCACAGACAAAAACACCGATGGTGTAATTGTAAAACTATCCTAAGTTGTTGCGTAATCAATTTGATAAAACTGTGAGAAGTCACAAAACATAGATTTCAAGTTTTTAAGAAAAAATATTTATTATTGGAGTGAATTGGAACAGTGTGGGTTACTATATAATATATTATTATTATTGGAGTGGAATTGGAACAGTGTTTTTTTCCTAGAACTCAGAAAGGTAGCGAAAGGCACAGTGGTTAGAGTGCTGCCTTATAACAAAGAGTTTCGAGACCGTAAAGACTTCTAGGAGCATCTTAAGAACCACAACAACAGCAACAACAACAATAACAACAACAACAACAACAACAACAACAACAACAACAACAACAACAACAATAAATCTTAGCTTAGTTGATGTTTTTGTACTCGGAAGAATGTCTTGAAACATTTCTGCGTTGAGCGAAATACCGGGATAGATCTCAATTTGAAAAAAAATTACACTTCAGCTATCCTCAAATAATAGGATATACAAATCAACAACTCTTGAACATCGGAGATGTTTTGAAATTCAATGTAGACTCTAAGGCATGGGGACATTCCGGTTTTGTTAATCCTACAAAAAACCTTTTTTTTTTAATTTTATTTAAGAATATACTGCTCTTGAATTTTATTTTGTAATCATTTTAAATAATAAAGTGTTAAAAGACAGTGCTCTTTTTTTTTACTTAAACAACATAACTTGTACGTCAATTTTTTATTGTTAACTTGTGTTCTATAGGTGCGACTGTACCCCATTTATTTTTTACATACTACAGCCGTACTACAGTATGTAACTTTGATGATCAGAACATTTTAATAACTGTTGTAATAAAAACATTACTAATAATTTGTTGTTTTGTAGTTGTGTGGCTATTGTGCATCCTGGTTAGTGTTGAATGCTACCAGTGCAATTTAAGTAGCCACGCCCATTTTTTTTAAACTTTAACAGTGATCTCAAGTTCACTATTGATAAATATATAATTACCGTTACCTTTTGCTTCGAAGTAATTTCCGATTCGAAATTTTTTTGCATCAATTGAAAGAGTAAACACCGAAAACTGAGTTTAGTTTAGTTGAATTTTTCTGTTTTTTTTTTGTTTTTTTTTTCAATTTATTTATATTTTCGTTATTAAAAAAATAATCTTTTACAATGTTTTTACAACATAAAAAATAACATTAAAGTTTCGACCGGAGACATGGTCTAATCATTTATCCCCGTTAATGTAACTAATAAATTCAGCCGATAAAAGTGAAAAAAGAAAAATGAAACTAAAGCAAGAACTGATTTAAAAATCAATTTGCTATTTACAGAAAAAAAAAAAAAAAAAAAAAAAAAACTAATCATTTCTTCTCATTATTTTTATTTTTTTAATTCTCAATTTTTTTCTACTTTTATTTTTATTATACACGCACGCACGCACGCACACACATACGCACACGTACACACAAATATATGTCCATTCATATATATATACATACAAAATCAAATAAATCTGTTTTATATTCCCTCTACAAATTGCGTAAGATATAATAAATATTGCATTTACAAATTGCGTAAAATAAAGTAATCTCATACAAGTTCTAAGTACCATACAATATAATTAAGATGTTGCATCAATTAATAAGATTTTAAATAACTAAGATTATCAAA